TTCTTTGAAGAACGGCTTTCATAACATTTTGATAAATATCCAAAGTATTATCAGTAGCTTTTTCTAAGAAAGTTTTATCACCGACAATATGAATATCAGTTTCCTCTTCAGGGGTTGGATCAGTTTTTACGAAATTACATTTTGTTACAAAGTAACAACGAAGTTGAGTATCCATGCCAGAGGAGACATTTCCTTGAGAACGGTAAGATTCTAGACGATAAGCTTTGGTAGTAGTACTAATGTCTAGAAACTTTTCATCAATTCTAAAAATTAAGAGTGGATCGATGAAATTAAGAATGGTTACTAAATTTGGAGGGCATATAAAAAGATCTGTCTCGGAGATTGAAAAGAATATGAAATTATACGATGCATGATATTTATGATCAATGAAGTAATGAAAACGATGCATATAATAAAAGAATATGGGAAAAGGAAAAAATGGAAAAAGATGGAAAGTTGAAAAGATGGAAAGATAAAAAGATGAAAAAGAATAAAAGCTTACCTTCTTTCATATTGAGGACCGGATAGTTGAGAGACACCAGGACGAGAAGTATGAATGTATACGGATGTTTCATCAGTCTCTCGTTCAAGATTAATATCCAATACATTTTCATTTTTTGTGAATGCAAAAATTTTAGCACCATATAAGGCCAATATATGGTTAGCGATAGTTTCGGCACTTTCTAAACTGAAATACGTATCATCGATACCAAGGTTACTGATAAATAACGTGAACGTCGATAAAGGTCGATAAAAGTCGATAAAAGTCGAAAAGTATCGGTAAGTAAGAGGTAGGTTATGTAAGAAATAAAAGTATATTAGAGATGAATAAATTTAAGAATTCGACATACCCATAAAACCAAGTTACTTCATTCCTAACCAGTTCTTTTGGCATGAACCCTTTCTCTTCCAAATACTCGCACACTTTTGTCATTTGTTCAGTCTTTCCGGCAAATACGGTAGGCGCGTAACCACACGAGTTCCTTACGATGCTATTCATATTTGGCATAAATAGACTACCTCCTGCGCGAAACGCCATGATGGATTTAAATTTTAAAGAATTGGATTATGTATTAAAAAAAAAAAAAAAAATTTTTTTTATAGATCAAATCGAACGGTTTTTATTAAAAAACCGTTCAAAAAGAAATCAGAGTTGCTAGAATACTTAAAACGGGGATTTTTAAATCGAAATTTACAGCACAATGGCATTGGCGTAAACCTAATATATATATACAGAATATATATATATGAATCTATTACTATTTTAGACTAATATTTACATTATATTAAAGTAGGATTAATCAGCTGTTGTTTTTTTTTCAACAATATAAATGCCATTTGAAGTTACCATAAAATAAATTTAAGAAAAAAAAAAAGGGTCATAAGTACTGTACATAGGTAAATAAATAGAATGAATAATGAACAAGTTTCATTATAATTGTAATAATAAGAAAAGAAATAATTTCGATTCTTAACATTGTCGGATATTGAAGAATGGCGTGGCACAAGGCTTGTCTTAATAGAAAAGGGACCTATGAATTATCAATAAGAGATGATTAAGAAGGCAAGATCGCATTGAGGATTTCGTAAAGGAAGATCAGATTCAGATTCGATCGGTCTACAAAAACCGGTACAAGACAGAAAACATGGTTTATTACATATAATAGCAATTAATTGAGAACTATCGAGTACAGCAAGAATAGAAAAAAATATATATTAAGAAACCCATATAGTAATTCATTATAAGCAAATCAATGAATATTATTATTATGATTAATTGGTGAAATAAAAGCATTTGCTTAATCTTCAATGCATGTCGTCGCATATATTAAAGAAATAATTCAAATTATTTCAATTATTCAAATCCGAGGATATCCACCAAATTCATATAATACAACCGACATAAAGAGACAACTTTCGGGTCATAAACCTTTCTTTGTCTTTCTTTCAATAAAGCTTCAATGTATGTCATTGCAAAATATTAAGCAAATATTAAAAGAGGAATTCAAACAGATTCAAACATCCGAGGATAATGCTATAAACGATCATAAAGACAATAAAGACATAATAAAGACAAAGAAAATTTTCTTGGCTTTTATCAGATCTTTCTTTATCTTTCTTTTAATATGTGTATCACAAACAAACTTTTTTAATTATTTTTATGTTAATTTTTTTTGAGCGATCTTTTTTTTTATTGTTTGAGAAATTCAACTAATTTTTTTTTTTTTTTTTTTTTTTCTTTTAGCAAGGAAAAAAAATTTGAATAGTTACACAAAACAAATATAAACAAAATAGTCAACAAACTTTGTAATCGTCTCGGACTGTTGCCTTTTATTATTTAATTGCCTTTTATTATTTTATTATATATATTTTATATAGTAAATGTCTAAATTTGTGCTTTTATTTGTGCTTATGTTTATGCTAAGAACAATAGTTAAATAATCTAATCTTTTAAACTTTTGCCACGTTAAAATTATTCTTACGTATAAATTATTATTATTTCATCAATATATTCATCAGTAAATATATATCAATAATAAAATAATAAAGTATAATAAAGTATAATAAACTATTTTTCGGAGTCTATTATGCATTATAGAATCAGATGATCGTGGAAATTTAAACCCAAATACGAATATATGCTATGTCTGGAAGCTCAAGGAAGCTTTCAATAAAAAGTTAAAAAAGCCACCAACTACTTTTTGTTCATATCGTGAGAAACATGAACTAATTTGGAAAAAAAAGAATGCGGGGTAATCTGAATAGAAATTAATTTACCTAACCACATTAAGTACGTAGAAAAAAGAATAGAATAAAAAAAAGGAATGGGGTGAGTCACAATAGCTCTTTTCAAGAGTAAATTTGAAAATTTGAAATTTAGAAAATTTGAAACGAAACAATCAAAATCACACCATATAAAAAGTTTGTTCAACATGATATAATGATATATAAAGTGAAATTACACTTTTACAATAGCATTTAATCAAGTTTGAGTGGCTTGGTGTACACTATATAAGATAATAATATAATATAATCATTATTAATAGATATTAATAGTTATTAATAGTTATTAATAGATTACAGGTTTACCGGACAATCGTTAGAAAAAACGTTCTACAAATTTTGATGTTGTGACAATATCATCATCATCACTATTATTTGAGTCATGTGATTTGCGACAACGTGATTTCATAAATTCGTCATGTTAATCTTTTAAAAATACTTTTAGTGTTACGAATTTTGACTTATTAATTGGCGCGTATGTACTGTGATTTTTATTTGGCATATGAAAGTAGTGTGAAATTTAACAAATTTTTAATTGAATTTGAAGACCCAAGAAAAATTACATATTATGTTAATATGTTGACGCAAAACGTGTTTTTTTTTTAATTGTGCTTTCTCACCATTACCTTGATATTGCCTTGATATTGCCATGTGGCAATAAGAGACAAGGTATGGTTTCTAGTAACTTTGCAATAGATGATATAGATGATATAGATGATATAGATAATATAGATGATACACATTACGTTTTTTTAAAGAAGATTAGAGAGACAATTACAGGGTTTTAGGACTGTTAAGATCGATAATTTGCTTCGTTGACAGATTTACAGATCTTTTAATCAGAATATGTGACTTTCTTCCATAAAAAGGCTTAAAGGAGCTGGGGAATAGACCTTTCTTGAGTGTAAGTTGCGTAATGTCACTCAGATTCGGTTTAAAGGACTAATAAAGTTAGTGTAATGTCACATCACGTGTCTATGTTTGACATACGTCTGTATCTGCAGTCAAAGCTGTCAAGTGTACGTATTACTGTATTATCGTTACGTATTAGAATTGTGATATATATAATATATATATGTTTATATTTATATTTATATTTGCCATAATTGAAATTTATTAAGTATTATGAGTAATTATAATTGTTGTTAGTTTGGAAATAAAAAGTTGTATGAAAAATTTGCTATACATACGTATAATGAATATAGTATTGATAAAATACAGTAAATAGTATAATAATGATAAACTATCGATTGGTTCTAAATTAGACTTAATGAATGTATGCATATCAATCATTATTATAAGGATAATTTGCCCTTGAATGCTATCATTTAATTTCTCACATTTAAAAACTTGTCACTTAAAAACTTGTTTAAATTCGGTGTATACACAGTATTACGTGATGGCCAATTAAAACTCCGTACTTTATAATTACAGTTGACCTGAATTAAAAAATTATTAACTTTTAGGATATATTTATACACAAGAATACCAAGGATACCAAAAGTACCAAGAGTACCAGACTGTCCGTCAAATAGTTCATAAGGTCCAGGTTCAAAATATATAACACTGGTTTATGGCTTAGCGTTAGGGGTTGGAGGTTAGAATTACCCAAATTTAGTTGATATTGGTAAATTTATCATAACGTGTCAATTTATCATAACGTGTCAATTCGGAGAACGGTTAATGGATATTATTAAATAGGTATTGAAATGTATTGAAATTTATGTCATTACACTTTTTTAGATCTTAATACGATTTAGATTTAGTATGATACTAAGTATGTAATTACATACGTATCACAATTAGATTCTCCTTGTCAATCGCACATTATGCAAGAGCAATCCTTTTAAACATTATTAAATAAAAAAAAAACACTATATTTAGTTTCCTTCAACATTTAGTCAAGATCGACCATCAACTATTTTGTTTTTTTCATGGATGACATACGCACGAGGGATATTAATTGATCACGTATTCAATTATTCGTTCGATCAATCCTGAAAAGTAATTGATCTCAATATTACATAAAAACATAACTGGTTTAAGGAAAATGGAAAACATAAAGATTATATGCCAAGAAATGCAACCTTTTATTCACGTTTTATTGGGTCGCCTTAAGGTTATGCCGACATCGTACGCGATGCACAAATTATCATCATGCAAAGTAATCATGCAAAGTAATCATGTCTTCACATTTAATACAATTGCCAAGTGTCAATGTTACAATTCTCACTCCTGTATGAACACACCAAAGTATATAAGGTAATTTGACGAAAGAATAATGTGACTTACAGTACGTGATCATATTAAAGTCAAGGAACTTTTACACAATTCAATTTTTCTTAATAAAGGGTTTGATAAAAAATTATGCATGTGATTGAAACCATTTTGGCTTACGTATTAGAAATTAGTTTCAACTCAAGCCGAAATAATTCGTTCAAATTTAATAAAATCCGGTTTAAAATTACATATCTTTTAAATTGTAATTTAGGAATTTTTTCCTATATTTGTAAGCTTATTAACTTTATTAAATAATTGAACAATAGAATAATACGTAAAAGTTTTATAAAATTTTATAAAATGTAAATTTTCTGTATTAATACAATTTTTTGGTTATTTTTTTAAAAAAAATTAAATATTTTTAACTTACAAGCAAATTTAAACTTTTATATAATCTAAATATCACAAAAATAACTAATAATTCTTGTCGCGGCCGAAGTTGAAGCTGGAATTAGGGACCTCAATTTAAAAATACAAAATCCACTTATACATTTTTATAATCTAAATCCTAAGCTAACTATAAAAAAATGCATCCAAAAATTTTTAAAATTTTCATATTAAAATATTTAAAATTTTCATATTAAAATATTTAAAATTTTCATATTAAAACATTTAAAATTTTCATATTAAAACATTTAAAATTTTCATATTAAAATATTTAAAATTTTCATATTAAAATATTTAAAATTTTCATATTAAAATATTTAAAATTTCCATCTTCAGCCATTTCCAGCTTCAGCCGCAACAATTCTTAATTTACACTTTAACCCTAAAGTCATAAGAAATTTCAAATATACCTTTATAACTTTTTTAAAAAAGTATTAGAGGTACTGAAACAGAAATTTTATCTGCTAAGCTTTATTGTCCAAAGCAACAACCGAATGCACGTCTATGCAATACTGCAATAAGATACAGGTAATAAAATTCGCGAATGGCTGGTTTCTTTGCTGATTTACGGTCGGTGTAACAATATTT